TTGCCTATGATTTCAACAAAGATGGAAAAGTTGATCTTGCTGTGCTGCACACACTTTCTAACGAATTATATGTTTTTCTCAACCAATGTACATGAGTGCTCGTACGAGGACTATGGAGAAGTATATTCTTTGATGATTCATGAACTAAATGAAATAGCAATAAACTATGCTATTTTTAAATAGTCTTTTGTCTTACTTAACATATTAACTTTTTTTCACAAAAATAAATTTTTCGAAAAAAAACTTATTCAGTACCTTGTGGCTTCATGTTGCCATTTGGCAACAGTTGGGCGAAAAGAGACAAAAAACTTGAAATTTTTTGTTCATTTTCCGAACTCACAATTCACTATTTAGTACTTTTTCATTTATTAATAAGGTAATTACGATCACAAAAAAGTACAGTTATGAGCAGAGAAACGAGACAAACAAATCATAAACCCAGATAGTGGAATAAGCATTATTTCAGAAAAGGCGCATTAAGCCTTGTAGTACCGGCCTCTTTTAAGTACTATACTAACAAAATATGTTTTTATAAAATAATCTTTTTTACTTTTGGATCAGTCTTTTGATGAAATATAATGTTCTCGTATTCAACCTGATAGAAGAATTATTAGAATGATATCCTTTATTTAGAACAAGTAATACAAAAAATACGTTTAACAGAATGCTCATTACAAACGAACGCAGAACAATTAAAACATTGAATTGATGTTTTCTTGTCCATAGAACGTTCACAAATCGAACACTGTTTTCGTTTTGGTTGAGTAGAATTTTCATTTGGTTCTGGTCGATTTTTCTTCGTCACAGGATAACCGACAATAGCTAATGCATTTTGAATATCTGTGTTCAAAAATTTTGAGTTTTTTGAGCGAAAATCCAACAGATGCGATACTAAAACCAATCCTAATTCTTCCAAAAATAATCGACGTTGATATTTTTTATTCTGATTCCATTGAGGATTTTTCGCCTTCCATATAATCAGATCATTTATAGCAGCAATGTCTATCATCCCATAAAAGATACAAAGTGGCCACCGCTTTGTACCTCTTTTTACCTGCAAAAAATAAAATGCAGAAATATTTAAAAAATTTCTTTTTAACGTATATGTATGATACATATCATCAACAGTGTTGACAGCTCCCTTTGTTTTATTATAATCCAAAATAACAATTGGTTTTCCAGTTTTATTGTCCACCTGACTATCGTGATGTTTCGAAGAAAGCAATAAAACAGCTTTATTCTGTTTGGGTACAAATGAAACTAAAGTTAAATCATCTTGAAAATCAAAAAGCAAAGAACCAACTTCGCGATTTTTATTTGACTGGAATTCAATAGGTATTTCTGGTTTATTTTTTCGCAGTGTTCCTATAAGAGTCAGGTTCTTTGCTCGAAGGTCTTTGGCTAATGGAACGCTTGTAAAGAAATTATCAATTTGTAACATTTCTGCTTGAACCATAAAGTGGCTTGAGCAATTCTAAAACTACTTTGGCACCTATCTGTGTTTGTCTTTGTTCAGTCGGTTTTCGTCCAATGTAAGGAAATGCATTGAATACGTAACGTGAGTCTGCATCAACGCATAACCAAAATTCTAATCCATATTTATCAGGTTTCTTTGGCATAAATTGACGAAAAGGACATTTTCCTCTAAATCCTAATAGCTGTTCATCAATGGTAACATTAGATCCTGGTGTATAACATATTTGTAAATTATCTTGGAAATATGACCAGATTTTACGAATTGCTGTAAATTTATCTGTTCTTTTTCTTTCTTCTCTTGTTATTTTATCATCGAATCTTAAACGAGAAATAATATTTTGAAAACGACTTCTTGACATAGTGGCTTTGAATATTGGAGATTCTAATGGACTTCTTCGCCATAAGCATTTTAGGTCTATCTTCGATTTTCCTAATAAACCAGCAGGTAATAAAAGTCCAATAAAAGCTTGTAATTCCATCATTGCTATTTCTTCTATTTTTTCATTCGAAGCGACGCTTTGAGTGTATTCCATGTTTGAATAAATCAAAATTTTCTGTAGTATTTTTTCCGATTCTCTTAACTTTGATAGAAAGAAAAATGTCGAAAGGAAAAATGTCGAAAGATAAAAATGTCGAAAGGA